GCCAACATCTCTTGAGCTGCTTTCAGCACACTGATAGCTTCCTCTGCTATGGGGAATGATTTGAGGCCATCGTCTCTCTGCCAGACCACATCCAAGCCCTCAGCTGGATTATTAACATAAACTGCTCTAATGCGTTTTACATGTTGCAGTGACTCCCCACCAAGCCACTTGATGATGAAATCTAACTCTTCAGTAGGTTTGAGACTCAACCCCTCTACTGCATTATTGAAACTGGATTTCCATGACAGATAACTGGCAGGTTGATCATCAAACACTTTAAGCCCTGCAGTAATGAGATCTCTACGAGATAAATAAGCAGCCAGTTCCAAAACATCTGTGGAATTAACTTTTGCTCTGATGGGAGTCTGAACTGTAACTGGGGTCTGACTGAAAGAATCTATATGACACTGTGAGCGACAGCTGGAACCGTCTACATCTGCAGGTTGAGGAAATTTATCTACAGAAGAAATGTTTCCGAACATATTCTCCTGTTCGTTCGATAGACTGATGGATTGATGAAACATGACTTCCTCTCCTGTCAGATTCACCCATTTCTGATTTAACAAATGCCTCAAACATTTCAGCTTCTGCTGAGGCAGCCTCAGCCTCACACTCTTCCTTTAAGGCATTTAAAGTAGCTTCGATGCGTGCCTTCTCAACTTGCATCTCAATCTCTCGTTTAGCAAAGGCAGCTCTTCTACGTGCTCCTTCTGCTTTAGCACGGGCTTGTGCTGCGGCTATGCTGCTTGCAGACTTACTTGATCTTCGTGAAGAGGATGACGAAGCTGATGCAGCACATTCTGACCTAACCTCTAGGTCTACTGGATCGCTGCTTATAGAATCAGCTTTTGACATTATTTTTTGAGAGAAGACGACGTATCTCCACTTCACTTAGAATCTTGAAGTTTAGTTGTCTTTTTACTTTACTGCCCTCACTATGTGTACACATACATAGCTATGCAGCAAGCTTAACACTCCTCCAACAAAGACTTGAGACAATGACTGAATCCAAGTACAATTTAATGGAAGCGGTGTAAAACTGCAAAAAACAACAATAGAAGCATAAGCAACATCCAATACATCCATTTTCAATTGTAAATAGCACAGCATACATAGCAATAGCATAAACAACATTACAGGGCACACATCTCACATTTCCTTTAGTATGCAAATGATCACACAAGTTTTAAAATGCATCATTATTGAAAAATTCTTTACAATAAATGCCTAGATTAGGTGAATCCAACAAGCTGAAGAGTACTAGTCTTACATATACACACACACTCATCTAACATCTCCAAATACAACAACACAACCAAAAATAAACACCAAAAAGAACATTCATTTAAAAACACTTACAGACAGTGCCTTTTCCAAGAATAAATGAAGTGTGGATGGAGATTGGTATCGTCTGTGTGACCTCTCAAACGCCTCACAACATAATGGCTGAACAGCACATGCTCTGCTTAAATATAGACATGTCACCACTAGGGGTCGCTAAACTGTGAAACTAGAACTGAAAACAGCATAATCCCCTCTCCAATTGAGGTATCGTTGACAGCTTTGATCTTGATGGGGGGATTGCATGGTTGGGTAGGAATGTTATATCTTTTGATGAGATCGTTGTTAATGAGGTTCAAAGCTGCTCCAGAATCGATCATCGCTGTTAATGAAATACAAATATCTTCAGTCTTATTTTTATGGTGAGAGTAACAAAGTCAGAAAACGATACATTCTCCCCTTTACAAGCCAGCTCTGCCTGCAGATCAGTGTTGAGGCTCTGTTGGAACACGGCTTTCAGTGAAACATCATTCCATCCGCTCTGAGCAGCGAGCATTCTAAATAAGATGGCATATTCAGCAGCTGTACCTTGGTTACCTTGTGACATATGTAAAATCTGCGTTGATATATCCTTGCCCCCAGCGGGATATTCAAACACTTCTGGCATTTGTTGGATGAAATAATCAAAAGATCTTCTAAAACGCACATCTGTTTCCCGAACAGTCAATCGCCTTGCCAGATAATAACGTCATCATGAAAGCGCATTTCTTTTCATCTGACTGAAACTTGTCTTCCTGGTTTTCAAAGTAAATCTTGACTTGACGAACAAAGCCTCTACATTGCTCCGCAGATCCATCAAATTTATCAGGTAATGCAAAGCTTACCGTCTTTGACATGGTCGATGGAAGAGACTGGATGTAGTGAGTCAGGTGCTCATTGACAGACTGGAGTTTAGCCAGTTGATCCTGGTATCCCTTTAATACCTCACTTTGATAGGCGAAGGCTGCTTGCAAGTTTGAAACTTCCGCTGGATTCAGTTGAGGCGAAGTATTCTGTAACAGTGAGGCTGAGGCGGCGTTAGAATCCATTTGCAAAAGTTTATTAATAGAAATAACAGGCAGAGAGTCAGTACCGTAACAGCAGTCCAATCTTTCAACATACACAAGGGAGATCCAAAAGGTAGAGACGAGTAAGCAGGCAAAAGGTCCAAACACAATCATCAGTCCAAATCAGGCTATCAATCCAAAGGGGTAAATCAGTAACCGTAGAGCAGATAATCAGGCAGAATCATACACAGAATAGGCAGGCAGAAAACAATGGAAACGCTTGGTAAGGCAGGTAAACTGGCAATACTTCGCAATGAGCAAACACACAGTTCCTTGCTAAATACTGATCAAACAGGAAATGAACGCAGAAGCAGAGGGAGCGGTACACAGTCAGTACTCAGGCGAGGACTCCCTCTGCTGGTGTGGCGTTACAGTTGCACAAAGCTGGTAGAATTTTTCATTATCCACATTGAGGCTTTATCAAGATAAGATTTTTGATGAGAAATCACAGCTTGTAAATCCATACATGAACAAAAGATTATGGTCCACTCCTGCAGCAAGTGCAGCATTGACAATAGGGCACTTCAAAATTCAAGACTATTTTAAACATAAAGAATCCAAACTTTACATTTCCAAGTTTCCAAACAATTTTCATCAATCCGCGTGAGCGATTGCAAGTTCTTTAACTAGTGTAATGGCAATTTTTAAGCAGCCCCCAACATGCTTCTCCGACATTCTTTAAACGACTATCTAAATAAACTTAAGTTGATGAGCAGGATGGAAAGACGTGAGCAAGGTAGGCAAGTAGCAGGCAGGCAGGGCAGGATGGATGGTACAAACAATATTCCAAAATGAATTCCAGTAATCCATACAAAGGTTAGAGCAGGGTTCAAATTATACAAACTCAAGATCAAATTAATAAAAAAAATAGCAAAGCAAATAGCCTTAAAGAACGTATATGCCTAGTAGGTTGGTAGTGTGCTTCTTTGTTCTTTGTTCTCTGACAAAAAGGTGAGAGGCAGCCATCTTTAACTTCACTGCCTTCTCATGGTCTATCAAAATAAAGTATCTACAAAAAAAAAACCTTATATACCAAAAAATATTTTAGTACTCCTATAACCTTAATAACTAATAAATGTAGCGTCTGGACCAATCAGACACAATTTTTTTTTAGTTATATTTAACAAATACTCAGTAAACAAGCCATATGAGGGTATATGGACCCTTCCCCCGAAATGCATCTAACACCTCAGAAAGGCAGAACAGGCCTCCGGAGCCATGGCAACCAAGGCTGATATCACTGGTTTTATTGCCCAAAGGAATGCGGGCAGAAAAACTCAGTTCATTTACCCTTGGGAAAGACAAACAATGCACATAAAAATGAACTCTTCTCTAATTAATTAATAGAAAACCCTTTCTGTGAATGAACACACATTTCCTCAGGACATCGTGTATACCATTACTGTTCTTGTATATTTGTCTTTTGAATTGTACACTGATTTGTGTGTGTATTATGATAGATCACTAGTTAAAATAACCCCACCAATACCATGTTTGGTCTCTTTGAATTTGTCTTCTGATGATCTAAATGAGCGTTTATATTATATGTGGGTACATAGGCAATATATTAGCGTTCTAAGGATCTTTATAATTTTGATTCGAGTTCCATATGCAAATTACCATGCTCTCACACAAAGGGTAATAAAACTCCCCAGTATTTCCAACCTCCTGCTTGGAATTTCAGCCTTTCTCATTGGACAAGCCCATCCTGAGAGGCGGGAATCTTCTCAGACCTTAAAAGGCTCACGCACCGTTCCGCCCATGTTTTTCTTGTTGTTCTTCTTCTGCTAAGAAGCGTGTTGAAGCCTGAGCCGGTGCGGGCGTGCCCGGTGGGCTCCAACACATAGCCAGTCAGCCTGCGGTTCTGTTAGAAGATGAGGATGTGAGCTAGCACCCCTCTAAGGACACCCTAAGTCTGCGCCAGGCCTCGGGCCTTGACTTTCAATTCACCAAAGATCCTAGGAACTCTCTTAGCTCTTTTTCATTTTCCACTGGGAAGAAACTCCCAATTACCATCAAGTCAGAACATCTTTGGTGTTCATCACTCTTCAAACCCGGAAGAAGGTGATCGCGACTCCTACACCACCGAAAATCCAAACCATCATCAAGACTTCCATCCGAGACTGCATCCATATGCTCGTTCCAGGCCAAGGCAATGCAAGTATTGTACATTTAACTAAACGAAACAGAGGTTTAGTATAAGCTGTAGACCCCGTTCTAAAACGGCACTGATGGTTTTACTCAGGTGGTTAACTTAACTGACTCTTTTCATAGCTTTATTCTCTGGTTTTCCTGAAATATTTATTTCCTAGAGTTGATATGAACTTACACTGAATGTTCGCTGGACGAACAGATTGGGTGATGGCAATTTAATTCTGCTACAGTTACTACTGGCAGCTGATGTAAATAATTGTAATTAATCATAATTAATTGTAATTATTTATATACATATCCCTTTTGAGCTAATTTGCTACATAAAAAATGGCTCCAACATTCAGCGTCAGTCAACTCTTAAGTATCTAAGATTCTTCAGCTTTACTGTATGAAGTTTCTGCGACATTCAAAAGCTCAGTAAACGTTTTTCTTTTGTTTGCGACTAGGTGCCTTTTCAAAGGAACTGTAATTCAAACAACAGCTGTGTGGCCGATCTGAAGCTGAACTTCAGATTTATGTGAGAAACAACTGATAAATAGACATGATATTAATCTGAAATATGATTGTTAATCTTTTGAATATTGCCATTATTCATCAGGTTTTTTTTATTAAAATGAGGTTTGTTCTGCAGGAACGACACATTAGTGGTGGTGAATCAAGCTCATTTCAGCATCCTCGTATCGCTGGCAAACCCAGGCGACGACTCCTTCAACACCATCATAGTGCTGCATTACCCAGAAGGCCTCTCACTCTCAAAATTTGATACCATTAAGGTACTGCTGTCTGCATGTCAAGTGTCAAAAACTTAACATAAAAACCCTCCTCAAAATGGTTTAAACTCTTATCAGACCACACAATTAACTAGATTTCAATCTGCTGCTTTAATAACTCTGTTCATTTCTTAATAGATGTCAAGTTGCCTTTATTTATCTAGCACTTTTAACAATACAGAGTGTCAAAGCAGCTTTACAATATTAAATAGGAAAGTAGTGTGTTGATAATGCAAAAGGACAAAAGTAAACAATAAAATTTTCAATTAAAGTCAGTTCACCATTGATTCAGTGATGTCATTGGCCAGCTCAGTATAGTTCAAATAGTGTCTGTGCAATGGAGAAAAAAACCTTGGGAGAAACCAGTTCTCCACAACTTGAAAAAGATAAAGATATAGTTAATTACAGACCGATCTCGAATCTCCCTTTTCTGTCCAAGATACTAGAAAAGGTAGTATCCTCACAATTATATTCCTTCTTAGAGAAAAATAGTATCTGTGAGGAGTTCCAGTCAGGATTTAGACTGTATCATAAGTACTGAGACTGCTCTCATTAGAGTTACAAATGACCTGCTCTTATCATCTGATTGTGGTTGTATCTCTCTATTAGTGCTACTGGATCTTAGCGCTGCGTTAGACACTATTGACCACAACATTTTTTTGAATAGACTAGAAAACTTTGTTGGCATCAATGGAAATGCATTAGCATGGTTCAAATCGTACTTATCTGACCGCCATCAATTCGTAGCGGTGAATGAAGAGGTATCATATTGATCACAAGTGCAGTATGGAGTACCTCAAGGCTCAGTACTAGGGCCGTTACTCTTCATGCTTTACATGTTACCCTTGAGAGATATCATCAGGAAACACGTTGTTAGCTTTCATTGTTGGTAGTTCCTCTTCAGGAACTTGAGCTGCGTCGGAGGACGCTTCGGGAACGCCCTTCAGCGTGACGGCTCTGAACCTCGTGTGTAATCAGACCAATGGATGGGCGAGACGTCACGGGCGGGTGACGTAATGACCAGGAAGCTATAAAAGCACGTGCGGTGAGACCAGCGTCAGCTTTTTGTCATTCAGCAAGCGCTCTGTGTGTGTCAGTCTGATATCTGTTTGTGAGTCTTATTTAGTGTTGTCTGTCAAGCAAATCTAAAAACAAGACAAAACCAGACACCTAAGGCGAGGCCAAGCAGCATTATATTATGCCTGATATTATAATGAGCAGTATCAATGGGGAGCGGAGCTCGCGCAGTCGGCTCTCGGGGGGCGGATTGTGCTTTTCCCGCTGTTAAGCGCTCCTCTCTCGCCGGGCACGCTCCGAGGAGTGTGTCCGTGCCTGTGATCTTGCGATTGCGGTCCCTCTGCTGCTGAGGCACGGCGGCGACAGAGATCGCAGTGATCGCACATCTGGTGGAGGGGTTGGAGACGGCTCGTCCTATTTCCACCCGTGTTCGCTAGATATAGAGCTCGTTCTCGAGGCTGCGGTTCTTCCCCCTCTGAGAGAGAGCTTGCTGATGCGGCCATCTTTCCCTGAGGAGATTGATGTTGTTGTTGTGACTGAGTGGCTCGCATGCTGCCGAGGCAACGCTTATATTACATCATTCGGTTTTTGATGTGAATCTTACTCACCAGACCGTATTTACTCCTCTGGTTGTTTGACGGCATTTAATTCTGAGGAATAAAATGTAGTAATTTTCTGACTATGAGAAGTTAGATATACAGGCACTTGGGATAAAAATAAATAAATATACATTTTCTCGAGTGAGAGCACGAGTTTACCTCTCTTCCTCTGAGGAGGTTGTGGCGGTCAGCACGGGCTGCTGGGCAGAGCAGTCCCAACGTACCGTGTTCCGGCCCTTCATTCTGGGGGCCTCACTTCTTGTACTCCGCAGAGTCTAGAGTCAGAGTGGCGCTCCCAGGCCGAAGGCTTCTAGCGGTTCTGCCCGTCATTCTTGCTGGATAGTCTTCGTCGTAAACGTCCTGACGCCTATGGCCTAGGACTTTTTGAGGGCCAGCTCCCTCTGGGGAAGAGCGGTGTACACCGCATTACACAGTGCCCGTCTCTCCTCAGTGCCCTCAGGAGATCGGTCTGCCAACCCTGGCGGTGTTCCAGGGCGCAGCGGTCTACCGCGAGCGCCACTCTCAGTCACCACCCGGCAACGTAGCGGTGCTAAGAGGCTCGCAACCTCCACGGAGGTCTCTAGAGCAGCCGGTTCGGTTGTCCCCTGCCGGTCCGCCGTTACAGGGCACCGAGCTAGCTGCTCTCATTACACCAGAGATCAGTCTCGAGAGACTGATCCCTTAGTATACTATTTGGCAGCGTGGAAACTACTGCCAAACGTGTCTCAGTGGGTGCTGCACACTGTAGTGAGAGGCCACAGAATCCAGTTCGGTTCTCCTCCGCCTCAATTCAACGGGGCCTTTCCCACCCTGGTGGGCCCCGAGCAGGCTCTGGTAATGGAACAGAAGTAGACACTCTCGGAGGATGGAGACCATTGAGGTGGTCCCTCCTTGCGCAGCAGAGTCCGAGTCCTACAGCCGGTACTTCACCGTTCCGAGGAAGGATGAGGGCATCCTTCCTCATCATAGGAAGTTCCTGAGGTTTGCTTTTGGGGGCAAAAGCCTACCAACACTGGTTCTTCCTTTGGCCTTGCACTCTCACCCCACACTTTCACGACTCAACCACATTGA